ACTCCAGGGCTTCACTTTGTTTATTACTTTGAAAGTTTGCTGTGCAGAGTTTATTGTTGCAGGACTTTACTGTGGAAAACGTCTTACCTCTGCTATCATACGTAGATCTGCATGCGAGCTCAAACTCTTGCTGTGCTTCTGTGCGGCAGCAAACCCGCTTATAGATCATTGCCACAACCTAAAGGGCTGAAGGGAGAAATGTAGTGTCTTTCTCTTGTTACATGGTCATTACAAGGCATTCAATTATTATTTTCTAAATTAAGGCCTTAATTGGAATTAAATTCATTAAATGTGGCATTTAAAATGTTTTATTTAAAATTAAACAAATCCATTTATAAAAACAATTTCATCAGATATATCATACCGCAATTTATTTGCTCAGAAAGAAGAAGAAAAGAAGCTCAAGGTGGAGAAAAATTGAGATAATAGGAAAATGCTAATTTCAACAAAAGCGGCTAGAAAATTATAAAACTTCATGGCTGTCATGGGAATTTGTTGATTGCATTAAAATGATTTCTAAGAGCATTAGAAAGCATTAAATTAGAGTTACTCATTCCTGTATAAACCCTGTGTTAGATATAATGTGACCAGTGGCAGTTCTAGACTAAATTTACCAGGAACAAACAGGGTGAGAGATCAGTGTTTAGCAGAATGAGTTACGCTTAAAGCCACGATTAAAGACTCCTTATCTAAGAGATGAAAACTGTGATCCTATCTTGGTCTGACTGAAGCTTAAAGCTGACTGCAATTTCTAAACAATTGTTAAAGTTCATTGTAATGGTGAAATATCAGAATTGGTCCAAAGTAGCGCTGCAACTAACAATTATTTTGCAAATCGATTCATCTGTCGAAAATGTTTTCAATTTAATAAATTAATCATCTGAGAGTCGAAGGTTCCTTAAAAAAGATGTTCTACACAATTAAACCAGGTGAAACTAAAAGTTTTCCACTTGAGGAGTTCTGGATAGAGCATATTGACAGACAAAAATATTTTCTATCTAAAATGCAAAATTTTTTTTGCAATTTTGATATAATTACTGCTCTAAGTGGGCCGCTCTGTCAGCTAAAAGCACAAGTCTCTACACTCCAGTTAACAATTAATTGATTACTAAATTAGTTGACAATTATTTCAAAAACTGATTAATCCAGTTAATTGTTTCAGCCCTAGTCCCTTGTAATCCCAACCCCTTACAGGGGAACAGAAGACCTCGCCTATTCAGCCAGGCCAACAATTCCCTTTAACGACAACCCTTTCAGAAACATAGACAGGTATGGGTCATTTCAGGCTAACAAAAGAAGCCAAACGACCCCCATTACAAAGGGGTGGACCCCTTCGTCCGGTTCAATTTGTATGTTTTCTAACCCTAAACTAGGCTTTGTTTTTGGTCCGCTCTATAGCGCCTCGACCCCCAATGCTTATTCTGACATTTTGAATTGAAAAAGCTTCCTGGAAACAACTTGGAAACAAAGTCCAGTAGATTGTTTTTCAACTTTTTGGGGGTTTTTGGGGTGAGGTTTCTACAGGTGAACCTGTCTGTTAGCACCTGGTAGAGATAAAGCTGAGCACCGCTTGTTGTTTTGATCAGAGTCCTGGAAGTGAAGGAGCTGAGTGACCTGTCGCCTCATTGGGACGGCCTCCGCCATGACATCATCGCTCACTGCAACCAGCTGATCAGCTGCTATCAGCAAACACAGACAGAGCTCGACAAACTCTCAAGTAAGATTTAACGAGTAACGAAGGCAGCCAGGCCCGTGCAGAAGTCTTAGTCCAGATGTTTTTCTCTTCCATACAGCTTCGTCCTGCTTTAAGGCGAGCAGCAGCAAGTCTGACAGACACCTCCAGTTTATCCCCACCAACCTGCACTCCCAGAGGATGGAGGTGACCGGCCCTGACAGCTCAGGTGACACCCAGAGCCTCTCCTCCTTCCTCTTTTTACGGCTGTTTCCTTGCTGTGCTTCGTGACACCTCTCCGCTGTGTCCAGGCGTTTGGTACGAGGTCATCACCTTCGGAGCGCCGGCCGATCACCACCAGGCTTTCAAACATGGAGGACTGAAGAGGCTGATCAGCAAACACACAGGCCACAAACACAGGTGACCTCTGCTGCTCAGATGCATTCCTGCACCTATTTAAGAAAGTATTCACACCCTCACTCCGCTAAAGTGAACAGATGGGACAGACCATCTCAATTTAAAGCATGATGGGGAGGGGGGAGGAACACTTTAGGTAGTTTTCAGTTTCATATCCACTGCATGGTGATGGCAGCATCATGCTTTGGGGAAGCCTTTATTTGGTTGGTCAGAATGGACGGGGAGAAGGATGGAGCCCGATTACCCTAGAAATACATCCAGAACTACATGGAATTGTTCATTTAATTGAAACACGATCATGTGGTAGAATGGCCTAGTCAAAGTCAAGACCTACGTCTTACTGAGGAACTTCAGCAAGACTTAGATGTTTAAAGATGGCGTCCATGTAAACAGAGCCGAGTTTGCACTGGCCTGCCAAGAAAAACCAACAGAATCTGATGGAGACATCTTAGACTAGATCTTTAAATACTTGAACCTAGTAAGGTAGTGAAAGCGGAACATCTTTTATCCCTAAGATAAAAGTCTTAGGTAGATCATATGTACATTTCAAATCATTCTGGCTTAAACATATATATAAATGTACTCTTTATCAGACTATATTGTCCCAAAATGTAGAAAACTTCTGTTTAAAAAAAATCATTATCTTATGCAGGTCAGTTAGTTTGGAAAACCAATCCACTGGACTTTATTTCCAAGTTTGAAGAGGTTTCGCATCCATCCAGAAGGCTTTTTCAATTAAAAATGTCAGAAATAGCGTTGAGTTTGAGGTTTTGTACAGTAGCTCAACAAAGCCTTGTTTTTGTTTTGAAAACATGGAAATTGGAACAGACGAAGGGGTCCACCCCTTTGGAATGGGGGTCGTCTGGCTTTTGTTAGCCTCCATTGCTGTATACCCATCTAAGTGTGCGAAAGGTCAGTCATTAAAGGGAATTATTGGCCTGGCTGAATAGACGAGGTGCTCCGCTCTCCTGTACAGGGGCTCAGGCTGCGGTGATAATGGGAAGGGAATGACAATAGTGCTGCATTGTAGGTTTTTGAAAGATAAAATCTGAGTCCACCCCCTCTGTTTTAGGTTGTTTTTTCAGCATAGATTACTTCCTTTACGCCCCTCTCAAACCCTCTATTTTCTTTATCCAAAATGTGAACATTCTGGTCCTCAAAAGAATGTCCTTTGCCCATAAATAGTAGATGTACCACAGATTCTTGTCCAGAGGAGGTCGCTCTTCTGTGTTGGGCCATGCATCTGTACAGAGGTTGTTTGGTTTCTCCAATATTAAGATGAAATCAACTGTTTTTTACGTCCACATGCTGTTTGATGGTGTAAGCTTGGGGTCTGTGCCACAGACACCCACCTAGATTGGGTCAAAATATTAGGTACAAGGAGAAGCTGTATGCGATGCTGCAGACAGTGTGTTCAAAGGTCTCCTATATTAGGCATAACTGATTATAATGACAGGGACGTAGCAGAGGATATATGAGGATGAAAATGTTACCTAGTGCTACTAAAAAAACAGGATCAGATTCTGAACTCACTTTTAGGTTTTTCTGTTTCCACGATTTGCAGCACTTTCAGTTTCTCCTAGAAATGATCAGTCATTGGGGTAAAATGAGTGTAAAAGCAGCAGAGGTGGAGGTTTGACTCAGCTCCTCTAGTAACTCTTGGTTCCTCTGCAGCTCTGTGTCGTACTCCAGAGAGCAGAGCTGCAGAGCCAGGGAGCTGCTGGCCAGCATTGCCCAGCTGCAGCCTCTGATCTTCGGCCTCGCCGAGGAGCTGCTCTCCGTCTCTGTGGAGGTCCATCTGGGTCGACTGCAGGAGGTCCTGGAAAGCCTTAAAGAGCAGGTAAGATGAACACAGCAAACACAAATGTTTTTAGACGCAAAGCTCCAACGAATGTTTCCCTTCAGACCACGATGTTTATTCACGCCCTACAAGACGAGCTGGTGAGAAGCGCCCTGCTGGACATCAACAACCGATCCGCCTCTAAAGACGGAGGCAGCCATGTTCACACCAACGGATTGGTCTGTGAGGTCTCCCACTCTGACCAGGAGGGGGGGCTGTCGCCTCGGCTGCAGGATGGAGAGGAGTACAGCCAGGAGGAGTGGGCAAGTTGGAGGGGGGGTGTGACCTCTAGTTGCTCTGCTTTTGGTGCGACGGTTTGTCTAAACGTGTGTGTTTGTGTAGGACAGGACGTGGGCGAACGTCGGGAAGTGTCTGGACTGCATCATAGCCATGGTGGAGCGGCTGCAGGGACGAGAGCGCCTTCTACGAGAACAGTCGTCTCCAGAGTCGCAGGAAACTGCGGGGGACACAAAGTCTCAGAATGCAGGTGGGACGGAAATAAACAACAAGTTCTCTAAAGAAGATCAGATTGATCATGTTTATCTGAATACTGGACAAACATTTAACCCTATTACAAAACATTGGAAGGTTTAACGTCGTAGGGAAGTCATATTTAAATGTCAAATCATTCTGGCTAAAACATATATAAATGTACTCTTCATCAGACAATATTGTACCAAAATTTTAAACATTTCTATTTAAAGAAAAACAAAATCCTGTCTTAAAATCTGTGTTTTGTTATCTTATGGCCAGTTAAGTTATACATCATCCTGAACACCTAAATTCGTCCAATCATATATCAACGGTCATCTGTCAATCAAATGTTTTTGGTCATAGCATCTTGATTCATATGTCGCAGCTAATATACGCAACGATTGAAATAAGACATCAGGATCATTTCCTTTCCCATTGAGTTCCGTCCCAGTGTTCACGGGGATGGACGTCTGTGTCTTCAGCAGGCGTAGAGCTAACAGAACTGGCAGCGTTGCGAGGCAAGAGCTCAAACATGTACGGCTGGAAGCCTTCTACACCAAACCAAGCTTCTGCCGCCCTGGCGTCCTCTTCCACAACATCTTCATCCCCGCTTTCCTCCTCTAAATAAAAAATGGATGACGGAAGAGACTCATCCACGACCTCCGACACAAACTCTCCTCCTCTTGCATGTTTCCGCTGTCCATAGCGTTCCTTGACAGTGTCTTTGCTAAATGCTACTTGTTCCCAATGTAATTTCCCATAGTGAACCTACTAGCACTAAGTTGCTAACTGGTTAGCAAGATGCTTTGAAGAATTCGGTCAAAATCAAACATGCTTGCAAACCTTCCACCACAACAATCCCGCCCTCTTGATAAATGACCAATCACATTCACTTTATTCGCTTATGTAAAGTCGTGCACCACTCGGGAGAATTAGGAAATGCAACGATTGGAACAACCGCTTCCCTACAACTTGAAGTTCTGGTTTCCATTTTTCATTATTTCTCTGTTCATTTTTTTTTTAAAGTTGTATTTAGTTTTTTTAGCCCCCTTTCAAAATTCTTTTGACAATAGGAGAAAATAACGAAAACATTAGATACATAATAAATAAGAGGAGTAATAATGAAGATAAAATTAGAGGCCAGGTTTCCCTTTTTCCTGTAATCTCACCAATAAACATCCTGGATTTTTCTCTCTTCTTTCCCTCCAGCCTCTCCTTCCTCCTTCTCCTCCTCCTCTGTGGGTTCTTGGCAGGAGCAGCTGCTCCCCCTGGTGGTCACTCTTAGAGACTGCGTAAGGGAGGCAGTATCGAAGGCTCGAGCTGCCATGACCTTTGTTGTCCTGCAGGGGGCAGTGGCTGCGACTGTCGCTCAGGGTCCCACGTTAATTGTGCAGCGGCGCCACGCTGTCTTCAGTCAGGGGGTGAGGATATTCATTTCTACGTTTTTGGGGGGGTTAAAAACTTTTCTTGAAAAATAATTGTAATTGTTTATTTCTTTCAAATTATGTTTTATATGAATTTATTTTATTCGCAAATAGGATTAATAGCTTTTCTTTGATAATTATTTTCTACTTTATGAAATTAATTCTGTAGGTTTTATTTTTATATTTTTCATGTAGTTAGATTTTACTTTGCCTTATTTGCGCATAAATATCCCTTTAAAAATTATTCTAAAGAAATAAGTTATAGAAAATAAGGATTTTGAATTTATAAAGGATAGATTCAGAAGTTTATAGAAAAATAACTACATCAGAAATAGTTTATCCGGTATTTAATTTAGTAAATTAAGATAATTTCATGTCTTGAAATAGTTGGAAAACATTCAGTCTCTGAAGAGTCTTTCAAGAATAAAAATCTAAAGAAAAGTTGGCGTATAAATGTTAATCCTTTAAATTCCTGTTTTATGCAGCTGTCAGCGGTGGTTTGTGGTTTCATGCTGAAGCTTTTCGGAGGTCTGGAGGATCCAGAGTTCCTGCAGCAGCTCCACTCTGTGGGAATCCTGGTTCAGTTTGAAGGCCTGCTGAGCACCTATGGTGTGGACGCTTTGGGGGGGCGATGGGGGTCACGCTTTCAGACGTTACTTTTCTCCTGTTCGGTGTGAATAATTCACATCCTGTGTGGTCGTTTCAGGCGAGGAGGTGGGGATGTTGGAGGACATGGAGGTGGGCGTGGCTGACCTCGGTAGCATGGCGTTCACCATCACTGAGGCCAAATCAGAGCAGATAGACGACCTGCTGCCGACGCTCAGTGGATCATGGTGAGATCCTTCAATAAACACACACATTCTCGTTTTGATATGTTTATTGAGGACCATTTTCCAAATCCCATTAAATTCAGTCATTTTTTAACACAGTCTGTGTCCTAATCCACTAACTCTAAACCTTAGTGCACCAAATCTTAATCTAAACTCATTCCTCCATCTAATTATTAGCAAAATAAAGAATTGAATACCAGCTAAATCTCCTCTCTGGTTCCCATATTTCCTCCATCCAGGGGCAGTTTTGTCGTAGAAGTGCCGCTGCCCTCTGAAACCTTCAGATCACTACCTCAGGAACTACAAGCGGGTCGTTTGATCCGAGTGGAGCCGGTTCTGTTTAACATCGGGATCAACCAGCATCAGAGTCTGGCTGAAAGGTACAAACTCGCTGAGAGCGGCATCCAGCTTAAGAATCAATTCAAACATCTCAACAGATGTAAAATATAATTTTATTCATTTTAAATGAAAACAAGCTTTGATCCTAAATCCTCTTTTCATTTTTATACTCATTATATTTCAGTAAATAAATTTAAGATACCCAGGATGAATGATGATGATGGATCAGGTATTATGTGTGACAATATTAGGGTCACCACAATACTAAAATGTCAAGCTCTGTGTTTATACCCAGAAAAATAAAAATGCCATTAATACTTGATGCCATTTTGATGCTATGGAGACAGAGGTGTCAAGTAATGAAGTACAAATACTTTGTTACTGTACGTAAGTACACTTTTTAGGTATCTATACTTTATTACCTATTTTTCTTCCTA